TAGAAACTTCACCTTTCCTTTAGGATTTTCGTCCTCCGTTCAAAATTTCGCCCTTCCTAACAGTTGCATGGGATAATTATTACATGGCTTTAATCATTTGAAATCAGTATCAATTCAAAATTGTTAAGACAGAGCTTGAAATAACCGATCACCGATCAATGATCGGCAAGGAATTGCTTATGATCGGCCGCTCGGCGGAAAAGCAGGGTTTCGGTTTCCAACCTGAAAAAAGCAGGGAAAGTCGCGACTGCCGATCACCATGATCGGGAACTTTGGGAACGTTATTTCAAGCCCTGCATGTAAGAATACAAATTTACAATTACATGTATCGAAAGGGCTTTACACAGTTACAGTAGATGAATACTCAATAGAACTTATGACGCTTCACAGCACACCATGCATATTTTGCATTTTCAGTGTTAATCCTTAAACTCATTGTTAAAAAGTAATCACCGTGGTGGTTATTGTAATTATTGGTATTGTTTTGCATCCACGTTTTGTCGTTATCGGAAAATGTATGGTTTGTCACTATTTTTTACTTGCATTATTTCAATATAGTTTGTAAATCTCAGAAGCGAAGGGTAGAACTTGCCAATAGGCAATAATCCAATAATATACGTTTCAAAGAAGCAAAAAAGACAAGAAAGCTTTTAGTTTTGCAGAGTTACATTCTCAAATGTTTAAGGCATGCACTAATAAAATCAAAGTATCATGAAATTATTTCAATAAACCACACCACATATACAATGCAATTTTCTTTGCGGAAGTGAAGAATCAAGATTACATCACTGACACAGAAAGTTGACGATTCAACGGACAATAGTCAATACGCTTCCCAACAAATTCCATGGATTTTTTACTAATCCTATAGTTTATTGTTAGCAAGTGATTACTGTGGCGGCTATTGTTAACACTCGTATTGATAAAATTTGCAAGCGATTGTTTTTATAATATGTTATGTGAATGTAAACTGCCAGAAGAATACGACAACATGATTTTATGCGATCTCTGTGAAGGTTCCACTTTAGATGTGTAGAATATGACACTAGTCTAAGTACCTCAAATTACTCGGTTATGCAGACTGCGCACACCACCAGCTGCTAAGAAGCCTAAAATGTGTATGTGATTTTGTCTCCTTGTAATAAATAAATAAATCACACAATAAATCTTTTCAACTTGCAATCGTTTGGTTTTTAGATCAAAAATTCAAAAATTATATGGGGGGGGCGAAATTCCTAAAGGGGGGCGATAGTCCTAGGAGATTCGCCCCCCAGGGGGGCGATATTCCTAGGAGATTCGCCCCGGGGGGGCGAATATCCTAGGAATATCGCCCCCCTTTTGAGAGGGGGGCGAATCTCCTGGGGGGGCGAATCTCCTGTGACACCGGCGTCCCTGATTGAAAGAACAAAGTTCTGAATATTTGAAGCTATTAAAATGCGGTCAGATAAATTGGAATTTGGAATACGTCTAAATGAGCATGTATTTAATTTTTTCGAAATCACGAGCGTGCCATTTTAGTGGAAGTCGTATCGTATGTCAAGTGAGAAAGTGAATGCAATATCGTTTTTATTAAATTAAAAAACCAGCATTGCTCAGGAAGTTAATAATATACAGTAAGATTATTAAATAATTTACAAAATTGTCAGCAGTTAAATAGTATACAACCTTACGACTTACGACATTCGGACGATATTTATCTAAATGATATGCCCAGTGTGACCAGACTTTTTCAGCAGTTATTACCAAAATTTTGTTCAAATTTTACTAAATTAAGAAAACTTTTACCAAATGTGGGCTTCCCAAATAATTACGTCGTAATAATGCGAAAAAACAATAGTTGCATCATCAAAGTAGAAAAATATGCACAAAAAGTATCTCAAAATATTTGTTGCTTTCATCCGTTGCAGTTTTTGCTAATGATAAGGCTTTATTTCTCAGGCTTGGCAGTTCTGTTCATCATTTTGAGCACGTTATTAAACAAGAAACACGCCTTTTTACAAAGTGCCTTTCATACACGCCTTTTTACCATAAATAAAACCTTTCAGATTTTGCCAAAATTTTTCCAAAATAAACATATTACCAAATTTTCTTGAAAATTTACGAAATTTTACCAAAAGTAAAACTTTTCAGTACCAAATCTGGTCACACTGGATATGCCAGCGATCGAGCATCAACAATATAATTATTCGTTATGCGGGAAATTAGGCGCAAATTTCCGGTTTCGGTCGTTTCCGGATTCGATAGTTTCGGTTTCCGTTCTTTACAGAGATCCTCTTTAGACCCTTCTTTTTCAACAGACAGAAAAATAAATAATGCATAAAGGAAAATACATATAAGAGCAGTTATAACGGTGAACATCGTTATATAAGCAATAAGCAATTCAATTATTTCCTGGCACGGGTCATCTCTCAACATTGAACAGGGGAAGATTTCTATATTGATCATATGGAGGGCAAAATTACTCAAATATTATTGGCTAATGAAGAGGGCATTTTTTCTTAATTCAGGGCAAAATTACTTGTACCTCATGAATAGCTGAGACGCAAGCGCGGGAAGTTTCTTGTTTTAAATAGCAATAAAAACAATTGGCCCACTTCTTATTTAATTAATTTGAAAACTCGAATAATAGGAAAAGTACAATTTTTATGGGTTGGAGCTAGTATTTAAGAAATGGGCAGCATTAATTAAGAAACGTCGGCGAAGACATGGAGACACACGAGGTTCAAGAACTTGACAAGTTCACAATTAACTTACGAATAAATTTTGTCCTCTACGATTATTAAGAAGTAATCGAACAGTTCTTCGTGAAATTAAGGTTTAATTTCACTTGTGAAGCTTTTAAAATACGCGTGAAATTAAACTTTAATTTTACTCGGGCCCATGCGATTACCTATACAAAGCTGCGAGGTTTCAGTAGGCAAGATATAAAAGATCAGTAAAGCAAATTACAGGTATACACTGTATAATTTCAGAGTTATTTTAAATAGAAGAAACCATATTCCTTTACCTTCCATTAACGTCGATTTTTACAAGATCTCGGTAGCGCAAATACATCAGTGGATTCTCGTAGTTATCGAAGATGTGGATACCTTTCCAGGTCACTGTGAAAACAACTGAGCGACTTGGTAGTGCTGGACCCGACACTTGACGAACATCAAATGATCTTGAGAAGACAAATGGCCACTTTACCCGAGCTGAGATGACAATGTTCTCTTTTATTTTGTTTTCACTTTCATTAGCGTAGTATTCCTTCAAGAGAGAGAAAGGGTTACTGATGTTGAACAACTGACTTATATTGAAACAAAGAGGATTTTCGGTTGTTTGAATGTATTTTGCTCTTTTTATCAACTGATATTGCTGGATGGATGTAATGTAAAAGGTGTTGGTAATGTACATAATAAGATAAAGCCTTCATGTATAGCGGTTCTTCAAACATATTCCATACATAAAATTACTTGTCAGGTAAGCAAAAGCATGGTTTGTCACGATTTTTAAGAAGCTAGAACGGTGTCGTGCGAAAGACGAGAAGCGGTAAGGAGAAAACCTTTGCTTCGACGAGGCTACACTCAGTGGCGTAGCCAGCCGAAGATTTGATCCGCCTATGCAAATTTCAACTCTTTGTCATTATTCATTTCTTTAGAAATTGATTGTGTTGATAGTTTATAAACATGAAAATATTTGCATATGGGGCTGAATTGTCGGGCTGTCTACGCCACTGGCTACACTCATGCCCATAAGTGAACGAGTAAATTCGACGAGTGATTAAGCAATCATGTCAAATATTCTGCGATAATCTGCCAAAGCAATCTTGAAGAGGCAGAATAATGCATAATAAAATATTACATGCAAAACGGACCAAAATATTTTCCTGAGTTCAATAAGCATATTGGTGAGCGAACATGTAAACTATAAATTCCAACGGCAACGCCCGTCAATTCAATAACGACATACTCTAAAATTATACTATCTGTTAATCGGTTCAGTAGCCAAATAATACCCAAACCGTCACAGTTTAATCTATGTTACAAACAAGGTTTTAGACCAACTGGTCAAGTACAGTATATTGGAAATAACGACATTATTATTGAGTATTTTGGAAAATTTGTCCTAGAAAGTGAATGTTTCCAGATATTGGGGGATATCACGGCCCAAATCTCCACTTCCCAGTATGACGAAGAATGCCCCAGCGTGACGAAGAAACAGTTTTCCTTGGCATAGCTAGTGTTTTCGAATTCCGGTTTTCACAGGGCTTTACCTAAATATTAGATTGTATACAGCATGTATTACATACCTTGATTTGGTTAAAAGACTCTTCTACAAGATCAGCCCATTGTTCAAGAGCGCCTACACCATCCAGAGCTTTATCTGGTAGATAAGAAGGCAAAAGACTCACAAGAAGACTACGATCAAGATGGCTGCCATGAGTAATGTAATATTCATTCGCAGCAATTTCAGCTAACTCTTGTTTCTACAAAAATATATTGGAGATGATAAATTTGTCCACTAATATTTTTCAAACACTTATTTTAATTCTGTCTGATATAGACAATTGCATGGTTTGGACTCAAAATATGCGCATTGAGTCAATTGAGTTATTATAAAAGATTTTAAAATACAATACAATAAAGCAATATATTTGAGTGTTTCTGCCATAAGGGTTTTTGCCAGAGAATAATAATATTAAGTAAGAGTCGACTCTTTATTTCTGGCTCAATCTGACATCTCAATAAAGTAACAATGTTTTCTTCTGTGCTGTCCCACACATTATTCGTCCCAAAATACTATACGAATGAATCCTGCCAGACGTAGATAGTTACCATGAGGAGAAAGACCGAAGTATGAATTAAAGGTCCACTGCAATTCATAAGTGCTTCATGCTTCCTTACCGTCTCACATTTATATTCTCCATGTTTAATCCCTCTAATGACTTGATAGTAAATCAGGTCTGTGCTAACTTTGTCTTCAGCAGGATCATGCCATGGTGCAAACAACTCCTTTGCAAAGTAAAGCTTCCAGTCAGGTGACCGTTCATTATATCCAGATTCCTTTCGGAATTGTTCACATTGGGAAACATAATCCATTACATGGTCGCCACCTGCTCCTATGCTGCTGACCTTAACAAATAGGAGACAAATGTTACATCAAGTGTAACTTGTAAACTTTATTGGGATATAGCTAAATTAAACTATATGACAATTTCACTTACGTTGTTCTCGACGGCACAAAAAATGGAGAAACCAAATTGATCGACCAAACCAATTTTCTTTGCGATGATTGAACGTATCTCCTTACCAGTCACTTGAGCATCAACCTCGATGTCTTTCACTGTGCCATCCATGAACGCCACTGGCAATTGTATCATATGCAATGTGTTTGCAGCCTGTTAGGAAAACACATTTCAACTAAATTATTACTTTTATTATTTGTACGACTAAATAATTTATTTTGGTTGGTGGTTGGTTACAAGTGGAGAACAATTATCTCTTAATGAGACTCGGAGATCAAGATGCTGTTCTGGGGATTATCAATTATGGTTGTTTTGTACATTGTATACATAATGATATTCCTGTCATACAATGAACCCAGTCATCTAACCGCTCGTGTGAAAGGTGAAAATCCATTCCAAAAAGTGGAACTTATAGATTATATTACGAATATCCAAAAAGTGAGGGGGGGGGGGGGCGCCCTTGCGTCAGCGTGCTAACGGCAATTATTATATTATATTTTACCTGTTTACCTATACTAATGTAATGAAAAAGGTAATGTTAGACGCTTATAATCAATTATATGAGTTACATATTCCATATTTCTTACTTTTAATTCCATGTAAGATGGTGGTTGCTTTCTTGGTCCATTTTTGAGTGTTCTTGTCAACAGTTGCTCACAAAACCTGCTGTGCTCGGTATTTTCTTCTCGAAAGAATGACACAAGGCATCTCACCAGCTGAAAGTTTGAAACCCAGTTAATTAAACTATATCCATGGTCCGATTTCAGCAATAAGATGAGCTTATTACTTAAAATATAAAACCACTGTGATTGAAAACTGTCCCAAATGAATGAATAAATCAAGCAAAGTCGCTCGACAAAGGCAGAAAATAATAAATTAATACAGTACTACAAATTGCAATGAATGCAAAACCTTAACGATCACGATTTGATGACGCACATATGAAAAATTGAAGCAATCAATATATATATTATTAAGACATGAGAATAAACCAGTACAGCATAAAACTTGTTAGTTCACTCCTTTTATTTAATTTATGACTAATATACCTGGATGATGATGACTGTCACAATAATACAAATAACACAACTGCTTTCACAAACAGATTTGAACTTACTAGTCCTGTGCATATCCCTAGGAAATCAGTGAGTTCAGTGAGACCGCCAGGATTTCATTTTTTCGCGGGGCAACTTAATAATTTGGCAGCCGTCACTATTCTACGGGGAGGGGCTGGTTGTATGAATTTTGGGCCTCTGAAACGGCAGTTGCTGCATTGTGGAGGCACTTGGAGAAAAATGCAAGGGATTTAATAAATCACCTTAATATTAGCAGTGTCAAATATTGATTTCAGAATACTTGCCAATTTCATTCAGTGGGAGTCATAGCCACATTGAGCTTTATGTTCGAACAAAGTTTCATAGGTTATATTATAGTAGGTGCACGCAAGAAATGCGCAACATTGTCTAATAAGAAAGCTGCGGATTGATAGCGATACAATCGTTCAACGGTGTCTGATGAAAAAGTTCCAACCTCTCCTCAATTTTTATCGGATTGGAACGAATCTAAACCTCCTCTTTGAAAATCATGGGGGAGGGGCGCCACTGCATGTCCGGTTACAGTAGTTCGAGACTCACCAAGCTATTGTACGCACGTACCTTTTCTGAGGGAGCAAAACATCCAAGAGTCAACGCAAGCAGAATCCATCCTCTCGATACACTCACTTCAGAAGGATTGCCAATGCATTGCTTCACAATTTGACAGACAATTTCATTTCTGGCAAGCAGAGAATTAAAAACATTTTCATCTGAAACTTATCAATGTTTTGGTCAGGCATATCCTGTTCAAAATCAGAAATAACTTTCGTATTTAATAGTCTATTTATTTCATAAAATTTGCTCCAGTACTTTGTAAAAACATGTGGTGACTACCATGTATACATGCAATTTTGCATGAAAAGAGCATTTTGTGCCTACGGAATGTTACTGTGTAAGTAACAATTACCTCAGCGATTCTCTAATAATTCCAAGCCCAATGATAAAATGAACTTTCTCCAAGTTGCTGCTGTCTGCGCCAGGTCCAGTTGATAGCAGACGAGATTGTACGAAAGATGCTCTTTCGTATCGATAAATATCCTGAATTTCCTTTATGGCGTCTTTAAACACCAACTAAAGGCAGAAGGTAGCACTATTATACAACAACAGCCTATTTTATAGCATGGCGCTAGTTGAAATTTTAACCTACTAGTTACACTTAGGGGCTATAGGCCTATATATAAGGTCTTAATTAAACAAAACCAAACGAATTAAAAGGGTTTTCATTATTAATTAATGCATGTGTTTATTACGGAACGTGCTATTTCACAAAGATACAACTCTACTGACATATATGCAGTTCTGCAAGACAGGTACACCTTCTCATTGCTTAGGTTATGACGAGCTAGTAAATAGTATTATTAATAACTAACTATCAATAAACACAGAGGAAAATATTAACCGTGAAGGAGCTTGCATATATCTGATGAAAGCTGATCCTGCTGATTTACATAATTTGCACTCCGGTAAGTCCGGTTAACCAAATATCATTGGGTATTGATTTTAGTTAATGCGTAATCACTAAAAAATCACAACTGAGTATATTTTTGAACAAGGCATGCATGAAACCTATGTTTTAAATCGACTTTTATTTTAATGCCATTTTAATACAAAATAGACATTTATATATGCAGTCAAACCAGTGAGTGTTTTTTTTTCACTTTCATAGCAGTACTTACCCTTTGTTGTCCTTGATAACGAAAACGTGGTGTAGATTGCAAGTTTTGCATGAAAGAAAACACAGTTTTCCAAATTCCCAAAGCCGCCTGCAAGAGAATGGGAAACACATGATAACTCAACAACTCATAGCGATACCGGAGCAACCACAATAGGTCTTCTACGCAAAAAATACTCAAACGATAGAGAACATTCAAAATATATTTGGAAATTTGAAAAAAGAAGATTTCGACATAACTTGGTCAATAACAAAACGCGCTGTTTCTTATACGGGAGGATAAAAAATATATAATTTGTGTTTAGAGGAAAAACTTTGAAGGAAAAAAAACCGGAAATATTTTCGACATGTAATCATAAAAAGAAACTTCTAGTAAACAATGATAACAATGAAAGGAATGCATGCATTGTTTGACCCCACACGCCCACGTTTTCGACTGTAAGCATTTAAGCAGCCCATATTTCGAAATTTGTGAGCCACTTGATGATTCCTTTCGGATGAAACATCGAACAATACTTGTTCTGCGACTGCGAGACAGTGTTACACCGAGTGAACAATAACAAAACACTATACAGTATAACACTCGCAGAACAAGCATTGTTCGATGCTCAATTAACATAAACCAGTATGTTTATGACATTCAGTATAAAGTTAATAGTTTTCAGTCTTTAATCCGCCCTGACCGTGTAGCTCGGTTGGTAGAAGATCGATCTAGTAATTCGAAGGTCCCGGGTTCGAAACCCAGTCTCGGCGGGCACAGTTGTTACGAAAGTATATCTAAATAGTATAAAAATTGTTCAATTTGCATCCCAGGTAATTATAGATACTAGTTACGTCAAATGGAGAGACAATGAGCATTTTTGCTGTAAAACTCAGATAAAGTATATATCATTTCGGACTTGTGTAAAAGTGTCAATTATCTGTCCATTAGGCAAGATAAATGATTTGTCAAACTGTCAAAGTTGGACGATAGCCTTGCATGGTGGGCTGTTGTGTTTACATAATTCAAAGTCCAAGGCTGCTTCTTCTCTGACATGAAAATGTGCATGCTTAGGGCCTTTCTGTCAATCATTCTTCGGTATATTTCGCGCGGTTGAGTAATGATAACATTACGTCATCAAAATTTTGGTTCGATAAAATTGTAAGTAAATTTAGTTTAGTAGGTAAAGTAAGGTTCACATAGGTATAGTTTGAAGTTTTTACTATGATATTTTGATGAGTATTTTAAGTTGTGAACATGTTGTAATGATGATCGATTGAACAGCGAACCAACTCGACCAGTGCGACAACGCCTTAAATAAACAGAATGTGAGAGCTGGAACGAGCTAGCAACGCCAACCCACACTTTTAAAACTCAACGTTGATTGGCTGGATACAAATCACACCACTTGCTACATCACGTACAACCGTTATTTTAAAAGGGCGTGCACAATCCGAATTCGTCAGTGGACTCAATGAAGTAAAAATTATGTATGAAAAGTTGTAGAAAGCTCAAACGAAACAAGACAAAACGAAGAAATTAACGAACAGATCACGAACAGTGAAAGCCAGTTGAAGGCTGAAGTGAACTCTTGAAAAACTACTGCAAGAAGACGAACACTAAGAACTGATAGTTATTAGAGAATGACTGTAAACGGTTCGCTACCTCGCGCAGAAAAGAAATAAAAACATATATTTCTAACACAGTTATGAAATATCTCACTCGTAAAAGGTTTTCTCCTTATATACATATACATACAGCTATAATTCAAAAAAGGTTTTCCTTTGCAAATCTTAAACTCTAAACCTTAAACTCAAAGCGTGCAAAGCATAATGGGAGCACCATTTAATAAGTTTAAAAATCATATATGCATGGGGCTCATTTCTTAGACAATGTATCTGCTTCGTTAATGGTCCCTTGATGGCAGCAGCAGCGGCGGTGAAAGTCAAATCTGAACCTCTCTAATACACTGAAACTAATGAATACGTACCATTTGGTCAATTGCATTATCCAGGTACAGTAGTGGTCGACGTAATGATGGATGGTGTTCGTAATATGGAGGTGCACCATTTTGGAAATATTGGGCAGCATACTGGGAAAACGCTGAACCCTAAAATGAAAAGTGGAAAGAAGCAAAGAACATTAGCGGGATTTGAACCGAGAAGTCCATCACTCCAAAACCGTTTACTAGATTTTATAGAGTTCCGCAACTCATATATATATTATATGAGACCGTTAGGAATTTTTCCGGGTGTTTTCGAGACCCTTTCAGCACTTTTTATAGTTTTAAACAATTTTGAGGTATTTTAAATATATGAGATTTTGGACCATTTCACAGGCTGGAAAACTTTAGAGATTTTTTTATAGGAACTTTCAATTATTGTTTTGGAGGTGCACGACTGATTTTTGTCAGTGATAAACCCCTCGATTGGAGTAACCACACGAAATCAATGGACAAGTTTGGCCAACGTGTCTAACTGACATGCAAGTTATATTAGAGCTCTATTTTGGAGCTTCAGATTCTGCTATCATATTTACGTATTAAAATTTATAAAAATCCTAAAATGCTGCGTTCCGTCGTCGTTGTTTTGAGAGCCTATCAGACTGATTTAGAAAACACGACGCGAACTGAAATGCCGCCTTCGAAACAAAGAAATTGTTCATGCAAAACAAAAAATTTGAATAATTTGTGGCCCCAGGGTCAACAACGTTGTCATTCTGAATACAACGTTAAACTAAGATTTTCACGTCATCGGAGCAACGTGAATGCTTGTTGCATATAAAATCTGTCGCATAGCGAACACCGGATCGGGGTATTTTTTCGAACTTAGACGTGTATAAGGTTATTTTAAAAGCTTCTACACTATTTATTACAGTAATCATGGTTCCTTAGGTCTCAATCTTGGGCTGAAATTGAGACCGCGTCGTTGGGTTTGCGTCGTCGTCTTTTCTATCTCTTTCTAATATTCAACCAAGGGAACAATCTACATTTTGCGGTACAGCGCATGATAATCATTTCTATGTATGATAATTAATTCTAATGCATATAGTTACCTTTGTTCTATTTATTAAACTATAGAACAATCGTAATTATATAAAGTAATTATATCGCAGAGTTATACAAAGTTGTGAATTTGGTACTCCACAATGTAAACTATAGCTATAACCACCTCCTGAGGCTGCAAGGGGTTCACTGGGGTATGGACCTGTGAAAATTGAGTTGGTAAGCCAGTGGTGGGGTGTACTGTGTACATGAGGGTACAAGGTGTTGCTTGTGGAGGAGAGTAGATGTATATATAGCAAACAGCGTTAATTGAAATTTGGCTATGCTTCACGAAGATGGAGTTACAGGTACGGCTGATCGGTCATACCTAAAATACTTCGGCGATTGTTGCCAAGCTTCCAAGGTAATTCACTTTTTTTACTAATATTCAAAAACGCAAGAAATGTAATTTATTTATTAATTCAAAGAAAAGAAAGAAGTGCAAAGCTCTGTAATGGTCGATACACCGACGGAAATATATGACAGTCAAAATTAGACTAGCCTAAACATCAAACGGGAGCGAAAGAGTTTTGAGTTCACCGGCTAAACTGACAGCAATAGACCTAATCAGCCTACGCCGTTGTTTCAATAGACAAGTCCATCCCCGTTTTGCAGAGCTTCTCGTAGATGTCTCCCAAGATAGCGGCATATCATGATCAGGAAATGGAGCTACAAATCGATTAACAGTTGTTACAAGAAATGACCAAAGACCCGAAAACAATGTTAGGTGACTGATCAGGAATATATTATTTTGTTGCAAATAGATCAAAACGACAATGCCATGCCATAAGTATACTCAGTGGCATGGCCACTTTCTTGTGCAATTTCTTATTGTGCGTTATCTACGGCTACTGTTCGCCTGACCAAACTGTCTGTAAGAACCAAATAACTCCGAGGGTGATACCTCTGTCAAGAGTTATGCAGTAGTTCCATACATTCAAGGTGTTACAGAACCAATCGAGAGAATCTTAAATAATTGTAATGTTAAGGTTACTTTGAAACCTTATTTGACTTTAGGACATATTTTCCCAAAGTGCCAAAGCCGAAAGATCCTTTTCAAACAAATCAGAAAATTCATATTGTATATTCTTTACTATTCGGTGACTGTGAAAAGGAGTATCTGGGTCAATCGAAACGCCAGTTTGGCACACGCCTAAAAGAACACCAAAAGTGGCTGTTTCAACTTTAAATAAGGAGAAATCAGCTTCAGCAGGACATATGTGTGACATCAAACACGTTATTGCGTGGGAAAACTCTAGAGTTATTACCATGGCATATAAATATGAGTACTCATGGTTAAATATATAGGGATTACGGTGCATGCATGTCTATTTGCCACAAGAACATATCCATCTTGTTATTAGCAGATGACGTCATCCCATGGGTATATAAGAAGCCACGTTGCGACTTCAGATCACCCCTGATCTTGAAGACACTGGACTGGAGTGTCGAAATGTTGGGTCGTAAATGTAGTTCGACTGGGCTTTGTGCATTCATTTATGAAATTCAGAGTAGGAGCAAAAACATTACTGATATTACGCCTGCATGGTTGCCTTGAACTCACAAACTTCGAATTAAGGATGTTATGACTAGCTTATGCGATCTTTTATGCAATACATAACCAGTGGTCTGTATTCCTCCTAATCTCCCTAAATGAATGAGGTCGCACCAATATAGAATTGCTCAGGTCTCATCAGAGAAGTTTAAACTTTGCGTTCATAGGTCAGACAACAAACGTAGGACAAAGAAAATGTTTTTACGTAAAGCGTAAAAGGTGGCAATAAAAAGTACTAAATGGAAATATGTGAAAAGTTATATTTTCCAAGTTTTGTATTAGGTAACTATGTTTGCTTGATAGTTAAATCTATATTGGTAATGCTAATTCAAAAACCTGACGATTCGATTTGTGTACTGCAATGTAAAGAATTTGACAAGTTTTAAAACCTCATCTCATCAATAAAGATTTTGGCTTCAAAATTGGCTCATACTAGGCAGCATTGTCATTCAATTGTGAAAAAGATGCCTTACCAGTCCTTGTTATTTTCAGATCAGTGACGATGGAAAACATTATATGTATTTATTCATTTAGTTTAGAAAGAGCGGCAGGGTTATAGACAAAAGTTTATATATTCTAGAACGTCTGTGCCATGCAGTATACATGTATGTTTGCGGCGAACAGACCAATTTGTCGCAGAGAAAAGGGAATGAGAGTTCGAGTTGATCGCGAAGCTAGACCATATCGTAATCAGCTACTTCAATTCAATTTTCATCAAGATTTTTTCAACTAGTATACATATTATTGATACTTATATAATAGTATATTCTTAGAATGTGCCTTAATCTGATTTTTAATTTGGAAACACTTAGATATATACAGTGTATCAAAGTTTATGCAAATCAAAGAATTTAAATCAGTGCCAAATATTTTAATCATATGCAAAATAGTACTCATACCTATTTTTGCATGCTACACTAAACATATTTGTAAATACACAGAGACTAATGTTTCAGTTGTATAGTTTTGATAATATATCTTTGGAATGGAAGCCGAGTACTTTAGAATAGAAATTGATATATACAATAACTTTTTAAGACTGTGCTAGCTGCGAACACCTATATAACCACGTTCAAATTCTCACTGAATAATTTCACTTTCGACTTTTCGACCAATTCTTATAGTCATCATTAGGAAAGAAACATCGAAAGTAAAAATAATCGTTCGTAGATTCCACAGAGTTCAACTGAGTTCAATTGGCGATATTTTAATAAAATAAAAATGGTGGTTATGGCATATACTTTGCTTCTTTATGTCGAATACAACTACACTTTACTGAACTGTCTACGCGTTAGCTCATTCTTAGACATTTCAGTGCGGGGCGTTGGTATAATTAGATATCGCGCAAATATTACAGTGTCGTGAGTTGAACAAGTAGCTGTAAAATCCTTCAGGTAAAAGTATCAACAAGAACTGAACAAGTCTGATCACCAGTTGGCTTTGCTTCTTACTATATTTTCGGAAATTCCGTTAAACTAATGCAATGAAATTTAATAAAGAATACAGCGAAATTATAACTGTCATTTATTTATGGTATACATAAGAAAATCGCTCTTATAGTCTTTGGCTGTATATAAGAATGCCAATCCGTTAAATAGTCCGTATTTGTTTTGCGGTGTTTAAGACTACCAGTGCATGCCTTCGTATGTCAGAGTAGATTTATAAAAAAAATCGTAATTTATGGTGAAATAAGCCTTACTATACACTTACCAAATTACAAATCAGGTGTTCATAGGCTAATTTGGTATAGAGCACTAAGAGACAACGAGAAACTTAGCTACACTTACTTGTCTTCTGCTGTAGTACGCCATTTTAGCGTGCCTTTAATCTTTCAAACTGAGTCGTATGCTATCTTCAAATACAGTATGAATGACTTGATACACACTTCTCCTTTGCGATTAACTCGAAATTTAACCGTTATAAAATCTTTCGGATGTATCAAATTTCGGTGGATAAATTACCAGTTGGGGAACGGCATTCCTGTCAGAGGCAAGCAAGCACAGCTCTGGTTGTGTTGGTATTTGGAGCATCGATTTCCCTCAAGCTCCCTGCTGTTTAACAAAATAATAAATTGCCAGTTTAAAATACAACTTGTTCACTCAGGCAATCAGCAAGCTTGCAATCGTCCTGGGTTACCGTAGGTTAAGAGCGGTTTTTATGTCACTTTTAGTTCGAAATTTACTTCTACTAGTAAGGTTTAGAAATTAGAACTGATCAAAACGTTTCGTGGTGTATGTCATCGATTTATTGCGAAGAGAAAATATGCATACATGCACAGTGGGGTGTTGTCGATTCCAGCTGTGTTCAAAACTAAAATATTTTATTCTAGAAGATAATGAAAATCATAATAGTCGGTGGTTTCCTCACGAAACCAAATAATCATTCTTGTTCCCTTTAAAATTTCTAACTTGTTCATTTAATAGTACAAGACATTATTAGATAAATCTGCATTTAATGCAGTAGCATTTTATTTTTAACTGTTGCCCGACGAGTTCGCTCTATAAAGAGATGACGTTCGTGTTCCCACACACAGCATAATTGAGAATGTGAAGTCAATTGGAACGATGTTTACCCCCGCAACTCATTCGAATATGGAATGCCAACATTGCAATGTGTATTTTTTAGCAATGACTTGTTGCTAAACCATGCCTGGCTATATAGTATTCCTAAGTGAATGAAACTACTAAAAGGAAGGAAAATGAAGGAATTAAATTAATTATTCCAATCTAGTTTAACCGGTAATTTATTAGTTGCTTCCTCGACACTGTTGTATATAATATATCAATCTTCATACTCCTTCAAAGCCAAGGTCAAATAAATTTCGCATCACCTAATAGACGTTTAATTTATTAGCTACGAATCAACAAAACAGTATTTTTTCATCGTCAAATACCGTAAAATAAATACTTTAATTAAGAACATGGATGGATGCATTGCTGTTTATCGTCGATCCAACTTGGTTATCACTAGATTTAGTTTATTGATATAGGCCTACAACAAGACTATACATGCGTTAATTATAAGTCAAAATCAAAATATTTGTATTTACTTCATATCAGTCTCTATACGTCCCTTTATAACTTTTGTTATTACTTTATAGCCTGCTCTAAAATCCCATATCATATTATTATTATTATTAGTCTGCTCTAAAATCCCATACAAATTAGGCAAGACCTGAAAGTTCCTTTGATCTTAGCCGGCATTTTACCCCCAGACCCAATGAATTCATCGCATGCAGTACTGGGCAATCTATTAATATTTTGATCATGACTTTTCAGTAAATTAGGCTTACAGCAGTTTCACGTGATACGCGACCACCTCACGCAAAAGTCGAGAGCAATAGTTGGTCTTGACATTTAGGTGCGGGCACTTGTTCAGTTGTGGCTGATACTGAATTAGTGACCGCGCCAAAATGTCAAAAACATTGTCAAAAACAACCATTGCTCTCGACATTTTTGCGTGAAGTGGTCGTGTGTCACGTGAAACCGCTGTAAGCTGCACGGATTGGTGATAAAGTGAATTACATTATTTTTTGCATGCACATGGAATTAATCGCGCAAACCATGCATGTGCAACATTTGACAGTTTTATTAGGAGTAGATATATGCTCATATTAAAGTAATCACATGTATGAATGTCTTTCCCCACTCCGGTTAGGCAACGAGGGGATATGTGATTTATTCACCGAGGCGCGTAGCGCCGAGGTCAATAAACACATATCCCCGAGGTGCCTCAAAATAACGTACTTAGTTTTCGCACTGCGAGGTCGCGTTAATTAGTCAGAATAGAAATAATTCTTAATGCCATATTGCCTTCGTTATGTTGTTTTTTTGTGCTGCAAATTAAGACATTGCAGGTGAATATTAGAGGGGATTATTAATTGCAGGTGAATATTAGAGGGGATTATTAAACGGAAATTGATTAGTGGGGAATATTGAATATATTCCCCGATAAGAACAAAGGAAACCGAGCAGGGTGAAAAATAAGCTGACATATTCCCTCGTGTTGGCATATTCAGGGCTGCTTTCCGCTCGCCTGACAGCTGTCAAAGTATTTCAAACTCATCAAGACAGACAATGCCGGATTAGTTGTCATCTGCATTTGCCGCTCACGTTACTCTAGAATTAAAAGCAGCTACCCAATTTATCTGTCCAACACATGATTCATCCGTCCAATGCCGGATAGAGCCAATGATGTGCTCTAGATTATAGCATGCGGTGATGTGGCCTAGCTTCCTACATGATGCAGACCAATTGAGCCGGGCCGGGTGATTCACCACACAGAATATCCCATGGTATTATATTCTCGCCTTCATTGCTATGTCACAGAACTCGAGAGCATGGAATATTATAATCAAGATTATGCTACACTATACAGGGTGTATAAAAAAAAACGCAACCTCGGAATTTCCTAAGAAATCACTTTGCAATTCTTAAGCATAAAAGATTTTAGGCCCCTGGGAATTGAAATCGAATTGCTAATAGATCATATTACTGTTGTTGTGCATTAAATAAATGCATACATTTTGCTTTATGCACTCGCGTGTGCAGTAATTTTGACAGTTGTGCTATTTTAAATCCCCAGGCGCCTAAAATCTTTTGTCTTTAAAACAATGTCGATTTCTTGGGAAATTCCGAGGTTGCGTTTTTTTTTTATACACCCTGTATAGCTGCCAAAAATGTTTCTACTGATTAGTTGGGCGAGATTTCACTACACACGTGACGTCGATGATCAAGGACCACGTAGTACATAATTAGGTATCTGGTACATTCATCGGGTCTTTAAACCATGTATATTTCTATTAACTATGATACCAGTAACTTATAGTCGCAGTAACTTATCATAATATCCCCGAAAGGACAAGCTGTGGCGAGGATATTATAGGGAGCTTAATTAAGATCTACGACGCGGCAGCTCAACGACACGCTTGTGAAAGAAATAAATTTGCATGCAAGACAAAAACTGTGAATAATTTGTGATCCCAGGGGTATTCTCAACGGCTTTGTCATTGTCAACACAACGTTAAACTAAGCATTATCATGTCTTTCTAGCAACGTGAAAGCTTATTGCGACCCAAGAGGTGCTACTTAAAGTCGAAATTACAGCAAACATTGCATCGCTTTAGTCGAACGTAGCAGTTTGTAATGTTATTTGAAAAATCTTCGAACATTTATTAAAGTAATGAAATTGCTTAGCGCTCATTCTTGAGCTGAAATTCAGACCGCGTCGTTGAGGCGGCCGCGTCATGGATCTTAATTAAGCTCTCTACTAATTCCGGTAGGCTATTTACACCCGGCTGGCTATGTTTGCGCCCATTCAACAATTCGAAGTTTCGTGGTGTCATGGTGTACGGGTGATCATCTCACTGATTCATGTTGACGGATTGACCGCGCTCTTCGCATGCGTGAAAAGATTGGGACTGACATTCAAATTTGGCTTCAATTTTTGGGTTGATTAAGGTAGCGTTCCAGTTGTATTTATTTCACTGATCGGTGACCATCTGACTGATCTCAAGAAAAAATGGCTGTTTAGCAAGAATGGCAATTGGGCAAAGATTTACAAAACATGTAAGAAAGCTTGGAAAATCGTGTCGCACAAAAAATTGTAAAACATTTTTTTAAAGAAACAATAATTAAGAATTATATTTTTTTCAATATAGAGACGTGTATGATTTAAATTCATTTCATTTTAAAGTACGCGTAATAAATTTAAGATTTTATCGGCAAAAAGCAGTTGATTTCATTTTTAATGAACATCTAAAACGTTTTACGAAAAACTTCCTGCCGAATTTTACATTAAAATAAAGCCCATATAGAATGCAAAATGACATACCTACTTTGTATATTCTAGAAATTGAAAGTTCTTTTGTTAAAAAGTATTAAATTTCAGTTATATTTTGCCGTTTAGCACAACAAATTAAAAACAACGATCCTGTTGCCATACCCATGGCTAACATGACGTGGGCAACGCGAGTCTGCGTTCAATGTTGGCGTAATTAAGAATCAGGGGCTCCGTGGGGGAAGCTGATGCCTTTACAAAAGCTGAAGTTAGTAATGAATTTATTTTATCACCCTGAGTTAAAATTTATGCTGTCCAAATTCGGAAATCAAACGTAATTGTGTTTAAACAGGTTCCAAAGAAATCAAGTAGATGAATGTTGCGAGAATTAGGGACCGGTCATTATTTATGGCGGGGGGTGGCACCAAAGAGAAAAAGGTTGGGTAATCAAAATTTTGAGTAACTGTAAAAGGTTGAGTAAATGAAAAACAAAACAACTCAAGGGTTGGGTAATAAAAATTTATTGTCATTTCCAAAGCATGACCCACTGAAATATTGGAGACTGAAAAGCAATGTCAACAGTCATTTGTCAATACAATACGTGAATCAATCAGAATCACTATCTTAGTCATTTTGACAAAACAAATGGTGTTTCCAAAGAAAGTGCATGTGCAGACAACATGAAACTTTAGACATCAGAAAATTTCACAAGCCGTTATCAATCTCATGTCATAGAAGTGGTAAAAGACATGTGCGACAACTGAATGGTATCCTTTTGTAAAGTTTTTGGCCAGGGATGGGTAATTATTTTTCAATTTATATTTGAGGTTGGGTAATCAATTTTTTGTCTTTTTAATGGTTGGGTCAGCAAAATGTTTGCCACGAAAAACATTTCTCTTCGGTGCCACCCTCCACCATAAATAATGACCGGTTCCTTAGCGAACAGTAGAATGTTTGTTGCTATCCATAAGGAGTGCATTGACAAAGTTTGTACCGAGAGCATGCATAGCAAAAACCTTTATAACAGTAAACGAACAACGGCGCAGTTACGTCGGAAGATATCAAATTATCAATAAATGTATAAGTTCATAAAATATATACTCTTAATTAATGTCCGCTCCCGAGGGAAATAGTTAATTTTGTTTTTCCGAGAATCTCAATGTTTCCCGAGACGAATTCGATGGAAACATTGAGATTCGAGGGAAAACAAAACTAAAAATTTTCCGAGAGAACAGACATTAATTAAGATTTAAGTGTTTTGTTAGCGACGAACAAAAATCAACATTCATACAACAATTGATTTCGCGGACAAAAACTCTATAGCGTAAACGAGTTTAAAATTAAAAGAACCTCCTTAAACGGTACGTTTCAGCAGCATATTCTGTCACCTGTTGTGTATTTTTCTTCCCTTTTACATTCTTTATTTGAACACAAATTTGGAAAATCGCAGTTTCTATTAATTATGCGAGTTGTGCCGCCATTTTTTTTATTTAAGTACGTAGCAGGGAGGGGGCGGGATACAATTTTTCACTTGTTAATATACTTGCATTGATTGTCAACCATAGTGCATCTAATTATTCTGCAATTCAAAAATTGAAGCCGTGATTGCAGTCTCAGATCATTCCCATGAAATGAGAAGATTCGTATGTTTTCTATTTCTTAAACAGGGAACTTAAACATTAAGTTAACCCTATTCCAAAAACATTTTTAAACTATTCGAATGATGAAAGTTATTGTTGTTTTTAAGCGTTTATTAGCAAGTGGGAACGACCCGGGTAGCCGCTGGAATATTCTTGGCTTCAATTTTACTAAAAGAGATGCGCTATCTAGTGTATATATAAGATATCTATATGTTGTCAACACTAGGGCAACAGGAGTGGAGAAAGAAAACAGACACTGTCTCTGAATGCTATATGACTTATGAGCGAGCCAGCTGGGAGCATCCTATCTCAGGTATGGTAGATTTTTGCTGGATTGTCAGTAAAAAAATTCTATTCGGCAGTAGTCAGCGTGTTCAGCACTTTTTCCGCTGGATTGTGTGTTCAGCCCCCCTTTCGGGATCATTTCAACGGTATATGCGTATATGGAACTCGTGATCATATTTGGTATAAAGCATGGAATTGCCATCAATTTAATTTAAAATTTTGCTTAAAACTGATGATTTAAATATAGTGTTTGCAGTATCAGATATTTTGCTTGCTGCACCAGTGTATATACATAGCGTGAAAAATAAATGGAAAAAACTTTTTTCACGAAGACTCGAAGTAGCCAAGGCATTTTTTAATACCATGGACTCGTGGGGCATGTGTCCCACTGGGCCCCTTCCTCTACCTCACCACTGAAGAAAAAAATGGCCGATTTCCCCAAAGCCAGGGCCCTAGGACCTGTATTGAGTAAATGAGTTTAACATTGAAAAGAAGTTTAAAAAACAAAATTTGTTGTTAAACTCATGTTATGTTTGAATGTTTAGCATGCAATTTATTACAAATTTCACCATCAAAACTTTGTTTTGAGAAGCTGAGATTTTTTATAATGTATTCTCAGAATGCATGAAATGCTATTTCAGAGACCCAAATTTTAAAAATTTCCTGGGGGGGGGACATGCCCCCACCTTCAACCCCCCTAGCTAACTCGTGCCTGCGGTACTCTGCTCACACCTTCGGCGATCGCATATTAGCGAGTTTACGAAACTACACATTTTGGCGACGCCGCCGTGAGTTGTCCATAACACGCATGCGTCGCAGCATTCTGGCTGCTTCCTTTGACGGCGACGCCACGAAACGGCACGTTAAGAACGCGTCCTGGATTTTTCAAGATGGCGGAGATTGAACAGAAGACATCAAGGTAAGAATTTCGCAGTTTTAGTTGTTTAAAGCTGTTTTGTTTTCCATACGATTAACTTAATAAGATTATAGGATTAAATTCAAATCTTTTAGTAAGTTTATGCTGACAAAGAGCGAGAATACCGATAATTTATATACGAACTACTTGATTTTCAAAGTAAATGAAATATTAGCTCAGTTGTAATATATTTATAAACATTTTATAACCGTTATGGCCGTTTCGAGCGATATGAAACAAATTAAAATGGTAATTTGAGTTAATAGTTGGCTAAAAGTGTTTAGTAATAGTGTGATGTATAAATCAGTAGGAATGGGAATCATGCATTTTGATTTTAAAAGTATAGTTTGGAAAGTTTAAATTAAATCATTAAATCATAGCCTGAATAGAAGCCTGCAAAAAGAGAAAGACACGTTTCCTTTTGACCACCTGGTATAGGAAAAACATTAACAGGGGTCCTATTAACATGAGGCTGATGATAGGATGCATACTGATTACTGTTCTTCAAGTTAGAGGCTCCTATTAAAGTTATAGGCTCTTGTTTAACTTAGAGCCACTTCTTAGTGCTTCTTCAAGTTGGGGTCCTTCATGTTACACCGCCTTCCCCAGGTGGCATGGCCCCAATATCTTGTTATGTGTTTTGTGACTATTTTAGTCATTTGTAATACATATGTTCTCATATCCTTATTTTAACATTTTGTTCATTCATGATTTTAGCAAGAAAGCAATGACCTGGACGGATGAACATAATGAAGTACTAATTCGTGAAATGTTTTTATTTCAACCATGGAACTATAAAAAAGGATCGCAGCAACGGGGCCATGCTTGGGAGATGATCAGTGATTCACTAAATGATCTAAATACTCCAATGTTTGGTGTGACACAAAAATCTGTTCGAGACCACTATACTCTACTCCAGAAACAGCAGAAGAGGAGATTGAGGGAAGAGGAAAAAGCTTCCGGAATCTCTCCTGAGCCATCGGAAGTAGAAATCGCCATAGAGGAGATGATTGAATTGTTTAGGAGTAGGGATGATGATGATAAAGTATTGGAAGAGAAACAAAAAGAAAATTCTGTTGCAGAGGTAGGAAAGGCAGTAGAAATGAGGCAACTGTCAATGGAAACATTGGCTGAAAGCAGAAAAAGAAAGTCTGAAAGTAAAGATGGTGAGAAATCTAAAAGAAGAGTGTCGACTACTGGTAGTGAAACAATTGCCTATTTGCAAAAGAAGTCGGATGTAGATGCCCAACTTAAGAGGGAGGAATTGAGGTTGAGACAAATTGAAGCTGAAGAAAGAAAGCAACAGCAAAATAGTGTTACTTCACAGCAGGAAGCTCTTACTAAAGCCTTGACTGACAGCATTGCTGCACAACAAAGGCAACAAGAACAACTCATGCATCAAATGCAACTTCAAAATACAGCTCTCCTGTCACTGATGCAGAGCATTACTAAGAAGGAGTAAACTATTTTTAACGTTGCATTATGTTTCTTATACTCCAGTTACATGTTCACTTGTTATTGTTATTTTAGATAAAACATTATTTGCAGGGCCTCTTTTAATACCATAGACTGGAGGGAGATTTTTCTCCCTAGCCCTGTTTTGGTCCTTCAGTGAACTATGTTGCCCCCCCCCCCAGTTCACTGGAAGGACCAAAACAGGGCTTCAGGTCCTTTTTGTGTAAACGATAAGCAAAAAGGGGATGAATAATAACTTAGGTAAGAAGAATGTTTTAGTATTCCCATGGCCAAATCTTTGTCTAGTGGATGAAATATATAAAAAATGTTTCTAAAAATGCTGAATATCTAGTCCCAGACACTTAAAATACAAGCATTTTCTTGGAGAGGGCCCCCAGACACCGTTTTCTTGTTCACCACCTAGTTGGACCCATTGTTCTTGATGGCCCCTCCTCTGACAAATCCTTAAAAGAGGCCCTGTGATGTTCATATTCTGAACAGGAATATGATGTTTAATAAACATTAGGGTTAACTCTCCTGTAGATGTATTGTTGAAACATAAACTTATGCAAGTTAAACACTTAACATTTAACATAGTGTGGCTAATTTTCACACAAAGTATTCATTTATGGATGGAGGTTCTAGTTCAAAAAACTGTGAGGTTATTGAGCCATAAAAACAACATCTGGCATTATGAAGTAAAGTGCAACAAATATACATTTTCCCAACTGCACTTAGTTGAATTTTTAGGGTTTTTTTAAAGTCAATGAATTTGAAGTAATTCACAATGTCCCCAAAAATCCACTCTACAGATACGCGTACGCTGCTCATCGCTTTGTTCCATTCTTGTTGTTCAGGAGTTATTCTCGCTCCTTTGAATGGGCATTGTAATTGAGGTCGATGAGGATAGGCAGGGTCACCGTAGATACAAACAGGATTTTCATTTGGTAAGGGATCTAGCTGTTGAAGCTTATTGTATAAATCTGACTGGGCAAGCATCGCGCTATCATGGCGTTTACCCTCAACTGGGCCAAAGAGGTTCGCCACAAGACCATTAGGGACAGCCAATGATTGGAACTTTATTGCATGTACTTTCTTGTGGCCATTATAAAGAACCCTTTGATTTTTGCCAGGTTTACAAATAGGACGAACTGTCCCATCAACAAAACCAAAACAATTTTCCAAGGCACCACTCTTCTGAAACACTGCATGACAAAACTCTTCTATATTGTCTGAAGTTAACCAAGGTTGATCAAACGTTGAAAGCAAATGGTTCCATTGAGTGTATAAAAAGCTCATGACAGCATTACTGATCATGCAAAGTTGAGGAACGGGTCTGCCAAATCTTGGCATCATATCCAGGTATCGACAAGGATAAGCAAAGCGTTTCAAAAATATGCACAAAGCCTCCACTCGGTCTACCAAAAGGCCGTTATAGCATTTGATAACTTCTGGTAGCTTCATAGCATCTACTAGAATGTAAATGTGGCCTTTCAAAAAACGAAATTCTGTTATACACTCGTCGTCACTTAATTTGTCCAAGTCAAACTCATCGTATTTCCAATAAGGCAAATCTGGACTTTTGGCTGTATATAAGTCGAAAAGCAAAATAAACTCTTCATCATCGATTAAACTTTCGGAGTGAGCGTATAAAAGATGGTCTCGAACTGTTCTCCACTTTGGCATTTTCGTTTCCGAATTTTATTTTAAAAACAATGATTTTTTATATAGATTCCCGCCAAATTTAAGGGAAGCGACGTCGTCGTGAAAAGAATCGACTACGTAAACTAAAATCATTCTGCGCGGCCGTCGCGAAACAAAGAAGTCGCCGTCGCAAAAAATCATGCGTCGTAAACTCGCTACTATCCTGGGGGAGGGCAAGGAAAATGGGCCCTTTGGCAGTTTTGCCCCACCACTGAAGAATCCTTAAAAAATGCACTGGAAGTAGCCGAATTTTATGTTTATACGAGTGTTTTTACGAATATTTCATTAAGCTTTAAAATATTTGTTTTCGCGTGACGAGATATAGGGGCCTATTAATAGGGGGGAAGTCTTTCCGCAAACCGCGCAATTTTTTTCTCTTGTTCCGTCAACCGCCCGTAATTTTGTTGTATAACCGTGACCGGCATGTTTTCCACACAAAGCAATAAAGACCATTTTCTATACGAAGCATAATTCAAGCACTCAAAAATGCCATGAAGGACGGATAGCTTATGAGCCCTTATGAAAGGGTACTGAATTATATTTCTAACCGTAATCCGGGATTAAACTTGCCTAACAACGGAAAACCGTGTGATAAAGTCGCGAAATTCCGCCACCGCTAGATAGTATCCTCACCGTAAACCGCTACAAAAATCGATACTTTTCCGTAATCCGACTCACAAAATAGGCTGAAACCGCTTAACTGCCATACTATAATAGGCCCCCGATATATAGCCAACATGACAGGTTTTGACTCCCAACTGATTTCTCGCTGATAGCCTGATAGGCTACTATATATAGCAAACAGAAATCAAAATCTTGCATATCTTTTCTCTCGTGGCGATTACGATCCACGGTAGAAAAGGTTTTAGTATATGGCTTTGCAGAATCCTGGATTCTGATTGGTCGACGTGCGGTCCGTAAAATGCGTATCCGGACCGTGGTCCGTATTTTCCCGTATCCGGACCGGTTTCCCGTATGTCAATTTGACATGCTCGAATTTGAAACGTTTTTGCACGTTTATAAGGTCATTATGTGAAGAAAAAGTATCCTTGGATCATTTTTAAGAATAAGATGTCTTGGAAATATTAATAAGTACTTGTACCAACACAAATTTCATCGAAAAAGCTAAGAAAACAAGCCGTTTGAACTCTTACTGGCAACCATAAGTTTTGGCGGGAAAACTTGTTTCAAAAAATAACTAAAGATGAATTTAACGTCTTTAATACCATATTCTAAACAAATATCATATAAACTGGGTTTATAAGCATTTTTTCCTGGGGGTGGGGGTTACCGAAAAAGTAGTTCTAAAGCGATTGTTAAACATGCTTTTCCGCGGCGTAAACAATATTCGGTGACGAAACCAAATCTAAACGAAGAAAACAAGCAAATAAAACATAGCTCAAAAATACCTTTATAGCGCTCAAACAAATATATGAAAATCAGAAAATGTGTTTAAGCAGCCATATAATAAACAGTTTATTAACCTCGTTTTGCTCGGTCTGTACGGGAAAGTATTTGCCTTCGGCTTCGGTTTCTCCGCATTCCGCACAGACCTCGCTCCTTCGTCTCGCTCGGTCTGTACGAAAACCTCATGCAGACAAATACTTTCCCGTACAGACCTCGCTCCCGGTTAATAACCCTTTAATATCTACTTCATCTCTAAATACTGTTTAAGCATTCTTTAGAAATAATACGCCGAATGATACACGAGTCACGAATGTATGCAGAGGTGTTTTGTCGTTTTATGGAAGGCAAAAATGTACCCTAGAATTGTAGGCTGTCATGCTCAAATTAGTTTATATCCAAAATTTCACGTTGTTTGGACAGCTTGGTTGCGAGTTAATATAACGCTTCGAATATTGAGGGTTTTTATAGATTTGACTGGAATTTGCTCCATTTTTGCTAAATATGACAAAATATTGATACACTAAGTTGGATTGGAGATTGTCTATGTCCCAAATCATCATGCAGGTATGAACCGATTAACGAATCAACTGGATAACAAAAGGTGTCTCGATCCCCTTGTACGGTTATCTTAGCACGTTTATAAACTGAATTAG